CCCCCCCCCCCCCCGCAAACAAAAAAAAGCAAAAACGAGACCCAACATCCGAATCCCTAAAACCAAAGCCTTATTCTGAACCCTAAGCCCCAAATCCTAGACCCGAAACCCCAAAAGTTGAGTCGGGCCCATGTATCGATGCACCCACGTTCAACAGACCCCGCCACCTCAGATCCACTTTCCAAAGGGGCTGAGGGAATTTGACGAGGGGGTTCTATAGAGCTTTTCAGGGACTTACTGGATTTACGGGTGCTTCAAAAGAAATAGGTTTACGGTTTCTTTCGGGTTACTACACTATATGTATAGATGAAGAAACCCTGAGGAATGGACCTACGAGTGGTATAGAACCCTAAACCCTAAACCCTATGTAGGACATTTTCATCCCCCTGAGGATACCCTTGAAGTCTTACATCATACAGACGTGGAGGGCCAACCTTAAACCATAAACCCTCCAGCACAAAAACAGCGCTTGCAATATAGGGGCCCTAAATAAGAAGAATAGGGTTTGGGGTTATACTATACAATAATTCGAATAAGGAAACCCCAAAACATATTATACTATAAGTATAATAAGGAACCACCAGAACATATTATACTATAGTCATAATAAGGAACCCTTAAAACTCTGTTCTAATTATTAAGGCCCCCACATTAGCCCTAAACCCGAAACCCTAAACCCTAAACCCCCTTTTCAAGGCCTTCAAACAAACCCTAAACCCTAGACCCTAAACCCTTAAACCCTATAGACCCTATTTCTTTTTTAAGGCCCCTACATTAGCCCTAAACCCGAAACCCTAAACCCTAAACCCCCTTTTCAAGGCCTCAAAAAAACTTAAACCCTAGACCCTAAACCCTAAACCCTAGACCCCAGTTATTCAGTCAGGCCGCCAGTAAGGCCCCTAGATTCAGCTTGTTAGCACCTGGGTGTGCAAGAAAGACTTCGCCCTCCTCTTGGGGCCCCGGCGCGTCCTCTTTTCGAAGCCTTCGGCCTACGTACTGTATCCTGCTTTACCCTAAGGACCCTAAACTATGGGAATTATGGAATTTCCCTAGTATGGGTAGTGCAGGATTTGTATCATCAGCCGTAGTATAAAGCTGTATTAGAGGGACCTGCATAATTAGAACAGGGTTTTGGCGTATATCATAGTATGATAACCTAAAGGGTCGTACACTACTCTTTCTTGGGCACCTGGTTTTAGGATCTGCTATATATTTTAAGCATAAAGTAGGTACCCTTAAAAAGAGGTATGGTATGAGCCTCCAAATGGTCTAGTTCAACGCTATACATCTGACAAGCTGTATCTGATGTTGTCGTATCTTCCAACGATCCACCATGACCCACCTTTCTGTATGTTCGTGGTGTATTCCTTGTATGCTGCTTATCCTGCCTTGCTCTACATGTGTGTATGTGTATATATATATATATATGCTGTTAGTTCTACAGGCATACACACCAGATGTGTGCAAATGGATGTGTGTGTGTGTGCTTGTGTTTGTGTTTGTGCAAGAGTTCATCTATGCATGTGCAAGCATGCAGGCAAGTATGCATCCATGCACCATATGTATGTAATGTATTTATGTCAGCAAGTACATAAGTAGGAGGTAAGTAAGTAAGTATGTATGTATGTAGGTATGTAGGTATGTACATAAGCAACCTAATGTAGCATTGCACTGTAGCAGTGTAAAGTAATGTACAGTAATGTCAACTAATGTAGAGTAATGTAAAGCAATGTATCGTAATGTAAAGCAGTGTAAAGCAATGTAGTGTAGTGGAAGTATGTATGTAGCATGCATGCATGTATGTACGTATGATTGTATGTCTGTTTGTATGTATGCATGTAAGTGTGCATGTGCGGATGCCTTTATGTCTGTATGTATGTATGGATGGAAGGATGTATGGGTGTATGCATGTATGTATGTATGTATGTATGTATGTATGTATGTATGTATGTATGTATGTTCGAATGTCTTTACATGCCAATGTGTTGGCACACCCTATAGGCATGTATGCATGCATGTCTGTACGTCCGTATGTACGCACAGAACGATGGACGCACATCTGCGGCTGTATACAGTCACTCACTAAGCCCTAGTTTTGCTAGATAGTCCCGTTGTTCATTGGTCCTGAGTTGGATAGACATTCAGAAAAGAACACAGACATCTCGCTAGGAGGTGGGCATGCCCAAGCTGGTTCGAGTCCGAAAGCTGCGAAGAAGTTCGCTGCATAATTAGTGCTGGCGGTTTAGTTCTTCTAGCTTTTTCGGGCTGCGAACCTCTTGTCGAGTGGATTGAACTTGCAAAAGTAGTTGTTTTGGATGAAACCTACACCCTAAAACCCTACTTAGTCAGGGCTGAGTCATTAAGCACGTGGGGCTAAGTGTTGAAAGACTTCGATGGCAGCCGGGTCCGAGGGGAGAGGCACCCGCACGAGTATTGAGAACAAAAAAACTGTGTCCGGTTTAGGGTTTAGGGATCAGGGTTTAGGGTTTAGGGTTCAGAGTTTCTATTTTTTATCTTCAGGGCCCGTCAGCATCGGACCACAAATTTTTCGGATGTCTGCACAAGGCTGTTGCAGCTTTATGAATACCCTTTATCGCCAAAACCTCGAAGCCGTCAGTGGTCTGCAGCCTTGAGCGTTACTGTCATGCTGAGGTTGTCATCCTGAGTTGCTCTACCACTGGATTCCTCTGCACCCCAATATTCCCACCTGCAACAGAGCTCAGAAGCAGAATGAGAGCTTGTACTATGGCCGGAGGTGCCACGGTTATTGTACGAGCCTTTAGGGCCACATGACCCTTCAAAGTGAGGGCCCCTGTATCCTTATAGTATGAATCACGAAACCCTAAACCCTAAACTCTCCCATGGTAGATGAACCTTAAACCCTTCTAGGGTTCATTTCGTCTTTTAAGGAACTGGGGGAGTCTTCGGGCCTCTGCTTCAGGTTGTCTGTCCTGCCCCATGATACATCATGATACATACAATCTTAGTAGCTGAATGAGTACACTCTACACACTTTGGGAGCCCATTGCTCCTTTTTTGGAACTGAAAGTTCAGACTTTCTTAGAGGAGTATGACCTCAGCAGCTAAGCTGTCAAGACATGCAAAAGAAAAAGCAAGTGTTCCGTGGTGTAGCTCTCGCACAATGCAGGCTGAGGCTAGCCGCAGCAGAGGTTGTCCGACACAGGCCACGGGTTGCACCAACTCGGACAGCTGGCAGCTCATACGCTTGATTGTTCGATTGTAGGATCTCATCGTTGAGTCGAAATCCTTCAGTGCTGCCTAAACCCCTGAACTGTTGCACCCTCAACCCTAAACCCTAAACCCTAAACCCTAAGCAAGCCTGCGTGGCAAGGATCCAGGATGCCTTGCAGAAGAATCTTGCAAGTGTGGCTCGTCAGCCAGTCTTGCTCGCTGTTTCCAGGGTTTAGGGTTTAGGGTTTTAGGGTTTAGGGTTTTAGGGTTTAGAGTTTTAGGGTTTAGGGTTTTAGGGTTTGCAGGGTTTAGGGTGATCAGGCTTCAAGGGATAGGGAGTCTTGTTCGTAATATAGGGTCCTTAATGATTACCTATACAGTTTTGGAGGTTCTAGTTTAACATACCCCAATACCCTACTCTAGTTATTGAGGCCCCCGCATTATGAGCCCTGACTAGAAACCTGATCCCCCACATATCCCAATCTTAGGTACGAAGATGGGGACCTTGAGGCTTCAAAAGATTATGGTACTGTTGATGTTATAAATCGGCATTACTTTAAGGACTGGTATGTTCCTTATTGTGGGTAATGCAGGAATTCTATCATCAACCATATTTTCAAGATTTATTTCGTCAACTCTACTTCAAGGACTTCTACCACATGCCATCAGATCTGCAGGGAATACTCAATTCATAGAAGCAGCCCATGCGAGCCATGCTCTTCAGTGACTCCTTGTTCTGCTTCTTCAGCCAAAGTGGCCAAGGACCTACATTTCAAGAACTCAGCCGGCGCCAAACGACCATACCACGTAATGCTTCTGGGATACTTTGAGCCACGGGGGTGTCACTTCCTCTGCATGGGCAAGCCCCACGCGGTTCAGGTCCATACACGCTCTCATTAGTTTGTAATTAGCAGTGACAAAAATCTCAATGCCAATTGCCCAATCCATAATCTGGATCCTGATGACAATGGCGCCATAAAGGTGGCGGACACAATGAATGTTGACTCAGTGATGACCGTCATGAGGATGATGGTGGTCGCGATGGTGATGATGCTGGCCACCGCCTGGACATGTGATGTCTGCGGCATGATATCAACGATGATATCGGCAGCAGCGGAGGAAAAGGAAGCACAGCTGTATACATGTGTATGTGTGTGTGTGTTCACATCAACATGCAGACGTACATGCATGCATGTATACACACATAGATACATCCATGCATGCATACATACATCCTAAACCCTAAACCCTAAACCCTAATCCCTAAACCCTAAACCCTAAACCGTGGTTGGGACGCCAAGGAGCGGGAGCTGTCTGGCAAAGATGTGGCCGGCCGAAGGCACACCGACTTCGAGGCGATCCTGGCAAAGACGACGACAGTTGGGTGTGGGGGGGGTTTAGGGTTTAGGGTTTAGGGGTTTAGGGTTTAGGGTTTAGGGCTTATAGGGTTTAGGGGTTTAGGGGTTTAGGGTTTAGGGCTTTGCATCCCAACTTTGTTGTCTGGTTTGTTTCAATTCTGGGGCTACAGGGAAACCAAGGCTGCCCGCCCGGACCTCCTTCCGTCTAGTTAGAAATGGGGGTCTCCGAAACTAAGGGGTACCTTATTTTGGGGTCCTTATAATAAGGATCCTACTATTTAGGGTACTACCTTAGGATCCCCTATTTTCGGAAACCCCCAAATGATGGCAGGTCACCCTAGTGCAACCAAGTTGAAGAGGATTCGACGGTAGAATTGTGCAGTGCACACTCTTTTCTCTTTGCTGTAGTACTCGAAGTTCTAACAGGCCTTGTCAACCCCAGAATTGTGTAAGTGAGCAAATTTGAACCTGCAGTTGCGAAGTCTTTTGCGGCATTCCGATGAACTTAGGGACCCTGACCTTGGGCCCAAGCCCCCAATGTTTAGGGTGGAGGGCTTAAGGTTTAGGGTTGGGTTTAGGGTTTAGGGTTTAGGGTTTAGGGTTTAGGGTTTAGGGTTGGGATGGTGTAGGATTTTCCACACGCCGGGGACAGGTTGGAGCATGGTGGTTGAATGGATGTCTGCGCAAAGTGCGCTCTGCAGATACGACACATCTGACAATTCTGGCATGTTCACCATTTGCAGTAGGACTCACCTTCACCGAGGCCCAAAGACAAAACTCATGGCTGGTAGACGCATCAATAGCGGGTACAGTGTAGTTATAATGGCAGTAGCAGTTGTGGCAGTAGCAGTGGCAGTAGTAGCAGTGAGTAGTAGTAGTGTAGTAGTAGTAGTAGTAGTAGTAGTAGTAGTAGTAGTACTAATAGTAGTAGTAGTAGTAGTAGTAGTAGTAGTAGTAGTAGTAGTCATCGTCATCGTCGTCGTCATCGTCGTCGTCGTAGTAGTAGTAGTAGCAGCAGTCGCAGCAGCGGCAGCAGCAGCAACAGTAGCAGTGGCCGTGGTTGTGGTCGTTGTCGTGGTCGCAACAGTACTTGTAGTTGTGTTCGCAGAACCATTGGTATTACACGTGCGGTTGCCTAAAGGCCCAGGAGACTTAGTAATGTAATCAAGGTGATACGCAAGGTCATAGCTAAGATAACCCCACTTAAGGGACTTACGGACCGTCACTTACTATGTCCTCCGAGCCTTAAGCCCTAAACCCCCAATTACACCCCCCTGGTGGCAGGGCAAGCTCCAAGTTGCTGCGATTCGGCTGCTGCGAAACGAGAGGCCGAGATTGTAGCACCGGAGGTTACAACGACTTAGGGTTTTTGGTTCCGGGTTTTAGGGTTTAGGGTTTTAGGGTTTAGGGTTTAGGGTTGAGGGTTTCGATGCTGTTGTTATCCAGGTACATCTTTCTCAGTCCTGATGTGCATACTCACTCTGCATATCGTCTTTCTCCATTCGGAGACATCACTTCCGATGTATTTCTGATCTGAAGGCTTCCTTTCACTGCAAATCTTGTCTCATGATACAGCTTGGGTTCCACGTTTCAGCATCTGCCTGGTTCACGGCTTGGGGGCATGTGACACGTGTCAATCGCTCAGGGATAGTCGGGATCGCCTAAACCCTAAACCCTAAACCCTAAATGCGGCAGTCTTTGAGCTCCTTCTTCAAGTTTTCTGCAGTAGCTTTCTCATGCGTTCGAAGCAAGGTCTGCTGCTGACACAACGAGTAACCCTGAAACCAAATCCTGAAGCCTTAAACCCCGAACCCTGAAACACTAAAACTGAAAAGCCCTAAGTCTCTATTAACCCTAACTCAATGCCCCTAAGCTATGAAATCCTGAAAACACGTTGAACCCTCAAGCCTCAAGCTCATAAGCCGTAACTAAACCGTAGACCCTAAGCTCAACAGTCCTTCTGCAGGCCTCTCTTGGAGGATGAGCTGGCCTTCACCGAAGATCAGTGCAGCTAGCCTAATGGTTCAAGGCGTTTGGTTAAGGGCTTAAGATTTAGGGGGTTGATTCGGGTCTGAACCCTAAACCCAAAAACCCTTAAACCGGGTTTGGATTAAGGGGGGTTTAGTGTTTATCGTAAACCTACTAGAGCGAAGTTTGGGGCCGACCTTTCTATTTAGCAGCAGAAGTGGGCCAGCCCCGGAGTCCTGGAGTGTTCAACCCAACTCTTGATCCTAAGCCGAGAACACCGAAAGTCACCACCACCACCACAACCGTAGTAGTAGTAGTAGTAGTA